ACACCCGGGCACCTGGGGGTCATACCACCAACCTTACCCACATCCGGGCACCTGGGGGTCATACCACTTAACTTACCCACACCTGGGCACCTGGGGGTCATACCACCTACTGCACCCACACCCGGGCACCTGGGGGTCGTACTCACCTAACTTACCCACACCCAGGCACCTGGGGGTCATACCACCTACTGTACCCACACCCGGGCACTTGGGGGTCATACCACCTACTGTACCCACACCGGGGCACCTGGGGGTCATACCACCTACTGTACCCACACCCGGGCACCTGGGGGTCATACCACCTACTGTACCCACACCGGGGCACCTGGGGGTCATACCACCTACTGTACCCACACCCGGGCACTTGGGGGTCATATACCACCTACTGTACCCACACCGGGGCACCTGGGGGTCATACCACCTACTGTACCCACACCCGGGCACCTGGGGGTCATACCACCTACTGTACCCACACCCAGGCACCTGGGGGTCATACCACCTACTGTACCCAAACCTGGGCATCTGGGGGTCATACCACCTACTGTACCCACACCCGGGCACCTGGGGGTCATACCCCCACCTACTGTACCCACACCCGGGCACCTGGGGATCAAACCACCTACTGTACCCACACCCAGGCACCTGGGGGTCATACCACCTACTGTACCCAAACCTGGGCATCTGGGGGTCATATCACCTACTGTACCCACACCCGGGCACCTGGGGGTCATACCCCCACCTACTGTACCCACACCTAGGCACCTGGGGGTCATACCCAACCTAACTTACCTACACCCAGGCACCTGGGGGTCATACCCACACCTAACTTACCCACACCCAGGCACCTGGGGGTCATACCCACACCTAACTTACCCACACCCAGGTACCTGGGGGTCATACCCCACCTAACTTACCCACACCCGGGCACCTGGGGGTCATACCCTACCTAACTTACCCACACCCAGGCACCTGGGGGTCATACCCAACCTAACTTACCCACACCCGGGCACCTGGGGGTCATACCCAACCTAACCTACCCACACCCAGGCACCTGGGGGTCATACCCCACCTAACCTACCCACACCCAGGCACCTGGGCGTCATACCCCACCTAACGTACCCACACCCAGGCACCTGGGGGTCATACCCCACCTACCTTACCCACACCCAGGCACCTGGGGGTCATACCCCACCTAACTTACCCACACCCAGGCACCTGGGGTCACGTACCCACACCCAGGCACCTGGGGGTCATACCCCACCTAACTTACCCACACCCGGGCACCTGGGGGTCATACCCCACCTAACTTACCCACACCCAGGCACCTGGGGGTCATACCTCACCTAACTTATCCACACCCAGGCACCTGGGGGTCATACCCCACCTAACTTACCCTCACCCAGGCACCTGGGGTTCATACCCTACCTAACTTACCCACACCCGGGCTCCTGGGGGTCATACCCCACCTAACTTCCCCACACCCAGGCACCTGGGGGTCATACCCCACATACCTTACCCACACCCGGGCACCTGGGGGTCATACCCTACCTAACTTACCCACACCCAGGCACCTGGGGGTCATATCCAACATACCTTACCCACACCCAGGCACCGGGGGGTCATACCCCAAATTCCTTACCCACACCCAGGCACCTGGGGGTCATACCCCACATACCTTACCCACACCCGGGCACCTGGGGGTCATACGTCAACTTGGTGAGTCTTCCATTTTTGATGGCTTGGTGTTTTCTCCTGATAGTTCTTTTCCCCTGGCGTGTCTTCAGGAGAGGCCTCCAGACTACCTGTCCAGACTGTCCAGACTGTCCAGACTGTCCAGACTGTCCAGACTGTCCAGACTGTCCAGACTGTCCAGACTGTCCAGACTGTCCAGACTGTCCAGACTGTCCAGACTGTCCAGACTGTCCAGACTGTCCAGACTGTCCAGACTGTCCAGACTGTCCAGACTGTCCAGACTGTCCAGACTGTCCAGACTGTCCAGACTGTCCAGACTGTCCAGACTGTCCAGACTGTCCAGACTGTCCAGACTGTCCAGACTGTCCAGACTGTCCAGACTGTCCAGACTGTCCAGACTGTCCAGACTGTCCAGACTGTCCAGACTGTCCAGACTGTCCAGACTGTCCAGACTGTCCAGACTGTCCAGACTGTCCAGACTGTTCAGACTGTCCAGACTGTTCAGACTGTCCAGACTGTCCAGACTGTCCAGACTGTCCAGACTGTCCAGACTGTCCAGACTGTCCAGACTGTCCAGACTGTCCAGACTGTCCAGACTGTCCAGACTGTCCAGACTGTCCAGACTGTCCAGACTGTCCAGACTGTTCAGACTGTCCAGACTGTCCAGACTGTCCAGACTGTCCAGACTGTCCAGACTGTCCAGACTGTCCAGACTGTCCAGACTGTCCAGACTGTCCAGACTCCAGACTGTCCAGACTGTCCAGACTGTCCAGACTGTCCAGACTGTCCAGACTGTCCAGACTGTCCAGACTCCAGACTGTCCAGACTGTCCAGACTGTCCAGACTGTCCAGACTGTCCAGACTGCCCAGACTGTCCAGACTGTCCAGACTGTCCAGACTGTCCAGACTCCAGACTGTTCAGACTGTCCAGACTGTCCAGACTGTCCAGACTGTCCAGTCCAGACTGTCCAGACTGTCCAGACTCAGACTGTCCAGACTGTCCAGACTGTCCAGACTGTCCAGACTGCCCAGACTGTCCAGACTGTAAAGACTGTTCAGACTGTCCAGACTGTCCAGACTGTCCAGACTGTCCAGACTGTCCAGACTGCCCAGACTGTCCAGACTGTCCAGACTGCCCAGACTGTCCAGACTGTTCAGACTGTCCAGACTGTTCAGACTGTCCAGACTGTCCAGACTGCCCAGACTGTCCAGACTGTCCAGACTGTCCAGACTGTCCAGACTGTCCAGACTGTCCAGACTGTTCAGACTGTCCAGACTGTCCAGACTGTCCAGACTGACCCAGACTGTCCAGACTGTCCAGACTGTTCAGACTGTCCAGACTGTCCAGACTGTCCAGACTGTTCAGACTGTCCACTGTCCAGACTGTCCAGACTGTCCAGACTGTTCAGACTGTCCAGACTGTCCAGACTGTCCAGACTGTCCAGACTGTTCAGACTGTCCAGACTGTCCAGACTGTCCAGACTGTTCAGACTGTTCAGACTGTCCAGACTGTCCAGACTGCCCAGACTGTCCAGACTGTTCAGACTCTCCAGACTGTTCAGGTTGTATAACTTATAGCCAGTCAGGGTGGCACAGTGGTAGAGGTTGCGGCTGGTAGTCCGTTGAAATTGAAATTGAAATTGAAATAAGTTTATTGAGGTAAAATACACACAAAGGGATGAGGTAGCTCAAGCTATTCTCACCCCATTCAGTACAGGTAGTCCGTTGGTCGTGGGTTCGATTCTCTAAGAGTTCCAGTGGATTTGCTCAATATTTTCAGTAATTGTAAAACAAGATGTTTGTATAGTTTTCCTGTCAAATTTCAATACCTTTTTGGACCACAGCATTGTACTGCTCCTATAGTGTCGGAAAATCCGACACCATTTAATAATATTATACATGCAGATAATATTGCTGTGTTGTATAAACAAGTTAACCCATAGAAAATGTAACTTGTAATGGAATTTCCGTCTATAGAAAACGGGATATCATTACCACATAGTATTATAAACTCACCACCTATTATGGTGGGAATTATTCTTAAATACATTAGTCTTTGGACTTTACCATCATAAAAACATCTCATATAAATTAACTTAATTATCAATATCAAAATAGAGTAAATGTGACCCTTCTATCACTTACTGTCATCTGGACAATGTAGGCCAGTAGCGTCAGTGAGGAGGGAGTGGTCGGTCATTGTTATTGTTTAAGACCACAGAGTCGTGGAGCGAATTACGGCTCCTATAAATTCTCTTGGACGAAGTGTTATGGAAGATCAGAGTAGTGATCTGCCATCATCAACACGCTGTCAACAAATACAAGGGAAGTGTCTTTCCGAAACCCGTTTATCTAATCATTTTTGGCCATTAATGTCAGTAGATAGGGTGGACCGGTTAGAACACGAATGATCGACTCAAACAAGGTAATTAAGCCTAGGTCTTTATGGTTCCATGTACAGTGTTTTCTCTGATATAGCTGTCATATATTAGGATTCTGGCTTCATAGCTAGCGCCCTTTTGACAGGTCAAGACGAGGAAGCATGCTTTGTGCATCAGTTACCAGGTTGTTGGAAGCTACCTCACACGAGGGAAAATGTGGTGTCTACATCCTGGTTATACCTGGTGGACTAAGGCCTGCTGTACAATAAGATAAGGAACCTCTTCAATGTTTTACAATATATGTTTTTTAATACTGTAGTTTGATTGGCTGCATATATATAAATTTAATATAAACCCCCCTAATGTGTAGTGGATCGATTTGTGAGATTATTGCAGAAATACAGTCCACTTATCATCATATAAATTGCTATCGAAGTATATAAATTAACGTAAATATAAATTCTATATAAATTCATATAAATTAAATAAATATAAATCTCATAGGTCAGTTCCCACATATAGTATGTTGTTCCAGCTGGCAGCCTGAGCCGGCTGGCAGCATGAGCCGGCTGGCAGCCTGTGCCGGCTGGCAGCCTGTGCCAGCTGGCAGCATGAGCCGGAAGGAGTGTAGAGTGTGCAGAGAGCCTTCACCTATACTCTACAGACTACTGTTTACACACACAAGGTGAACAAGTAGTGCCGGTAGTGGAAACCTCTCTACTGCATCAACACATAACCACGCTACAGACCTACAGGTCTTTTGCCCTCCCTCCCTCCCTCTCTCCCTCTAATGTATCCCTCCACTTCCTTCTCTGTTCTCTACCTTGCACCATCTATATATTACTTACCATATAATACAGTGTTTTTCTTGACATCAATTATTTAATATATTTTTTCCCTCAGAAGCTGCTAGTTGTGGCGCTGTGCCTGTTGCTGGGGCTGGCTGTGGCCATCCCCGCTCCTGATGCACAGCCCGACCCTTCGCCTGTGGCACAGCCCGACCCCTCACCTGTGGCACAGCCCGACCCTTCACCTGTGGCACAGCCCGACCCCTCACCTGTGGCACAGCCCGACCCTTCACCTGTGGCACAGCCCGACCCCTCACCTGTGGCACAGCCCGACCCTTCACCTGTGGCACAGCCCGACCCCTCACCTGTGGCACAGCCCGACCCTTCGCCTGAGGCACAGCCCGACCCCTCACCTGAGGCACAGCCCGACCCTGATCCACGTTATGGCAGAGGGGGTGGTGGGGGTTTCAGAGGCGGATACAGAGGCGGGTACAGAGGCTACAGCGGATACAGAGGTTATGGCGGGTATAGAGGTTATGGAGGTTATGGTGGATTCAGAGGCTATGTCGGATACAGAGGCTATGGTGGGTACGGAGGTTATTATGGGTACAGAGGCTATGGTGGATATGGTTACTGTTCCTACTACTATGCATACTATGGTTACTGTCCTTATGGTTACGGTGGTTACTATGGCTAACGTGGGCATTGCTACTTCGGCTAGCGTAGTCATGGCTATTGTAGCTACTACAGCTAGCATGGGCATGGCTACAGTGGCTTCTACATGTAGCATGGACATTACTACGGTGATTATACCGGCTAGCGTGGGCATGGCTACTGTAGCAACTACAGCTAGCAGGGGCATGGCTACAGTGGCATCTACATGTAGCATGGGCATTACTAGGGTGGTTATACCGGCTAGCGTGGGCATGGCTACTGTAGCAACTACAGCTAGCATGGGCATGGCTACAGTGGCATCTACATGTAGCATGGGCATTACTAGGGTGGTTATACCGGCTAGCGTGGGCATGCCTACTGTCATCAGCCAGCTTGGTCTGCCAGAGATCCAGAGGCCGCACACTCTACACCAACTTCCGTCTTCCATGACGACGGTCAACACAAAGTTCCGGGGTCAATACAGTGTTATGTGTTATCGAGTTTGTGATCATAAATGTCGTCTTTCACAGTCAATAAATTTGTTATAGTTTCCTCTGTGTCGTTTATTTTACTCCCAGATAAGTTAGTTATGTCCAGAGATAATATAATTGCGCATGAACCTATCAATGAAGGTCACTGCATAGCTTCTGCAGGTGTATTGTCCCATGCAAGGCAGCTCCTATTTTTAACCAATTCATATATATGTATAACCTTCGCTTGAAACAATCTGGCGATCCTACGTCATCATATTACCCAATAATTGCTCCATTACTCAATTCTATTTCCAGATTTCAAATGTAATTCCATTATTGTCCACTGGCATCTGAGCGGATACAGCAATAACCTAACCTAACCTAACCTAACCTTAACTAACATAACTAAGTAATTCATGTTCTTAATTTATTATAATAAATAACTGTACCCGGCCACTTGTTGCTGTCGCTCAACAATGCATGTGCATTGCTGAGCCACAGCAATCTTCCCCTGTCTCCCAGTCCTCCCCACCATTCCCCCTTCCCTGTCCCCTCGTCCTCCCAAGCATTCCCCACTCCCTCCTCCGATGCATTCCCAAAGCATATGATGTTCCCATCGGAAGCCAGTCCACTTCTCTCTTCTATCATACGCCACTCAAGGTTCCCTCACGCCAGCGAGTTTACCTTTCTCAGTAAGTGATGGGCCAGTCCTACACAGTATCCTCACTTTGCCACAACACCACTTGTACTCTCCAGCAACACTGGCAGGGATCTCCAGCAACACACTGGCAGGGGTCTCCAGCCGTGCTCTCAGCCACAGCTCAGGATGGAAGCAAGTCGATGAAGAACTCTGTAGGGTAAGGCAGGTCCTAGTCAACAACGGCTTCTCCAATGGTTTCGTTGAAGACATCATAAGAAGGAAGGTGAAACGCCATGCAACCTCTGAAGAGACAACTAACACAACACCTATACACCCCTATTAGACTATTTTACAGGAACTTCTTTTCCACAGCTCATAAAACGGAGGAAAGGGTCCTGAAAGATATTGTTAATAGAAACGTTATCCCTACAGACAAAAATCAGAAGATACAACTGACGATTTACTATAAAACCAAAAAAAGGGCCAACCTACTTATGAGAAACTCTCCAGACACAAAGCAGAACGCTTTAAAAGAGACCAACGTCGTCTATGCCTTAAAATGCCCACTTGGGAACTGTTAGCCTCAAAGAACTCAGTATATAGGCAAGACAACAACATCTCTTTCCAGGCGATTAACGATGCATAAGCGACAGGGCTCCATTAAGGAACATATAATCTCTTCCCACAACCAGATCATCACCTGAGAAATTTTAGCAAACAACACGGAAATCATCGATAGATACAGCGATAGCTGGCGGGTTGACATCTGCGAGGCACTACACATCAAGAAGTCAACACCAGCAATCAACAGCCAATTAATGCACAACTATATTCTACCCACTTCAAGACTCCGTTCCAGTATAGAAGCATCA